GACAGGGTTTCTCTGTGTAGCTTTGTGCCTTTATCTGGAACTCACTCTGTAGCCCAGGCTGGCCTCGAACTCACAGAGATCTGCCTGGCTCTGCCTCCCAATTGCTGGGATTAAAGGTGTGAGCCACTACCACCCAGCCTATGTGATGCTTTTAGCGGACTTTTACAAACACCATCTTTTAAAGGACTGTAACTTTATTTGGTCTTTGTTTCAGAACTGCCTCTAACTTTCTATAATTACCTCATATATAGGATTCATGGAGAAAATATATTTAAAACAAGTGCGGAAATGACATATAACTTCCTAAATCAACAACAAATTAAAACAAAATAAGAAACTACCAATATGAGGTCTCGGGAAATAAAATTGGCTCAAGTGTACTCCAAGTCTCTGAGAATTCAAGCTACACAGAAAGGAACATATAAGTTTCCATGATGCTCTGTTTAAAGCGTGAAAGAGACCAATGAATATAGGTACAGCCATGTACATTTATGCTCTTTCTCGTATTGATTTTTTTATATATACATTTTTTTTTCTATACTGGAAATGTGTGCTTCTTACTAGCAACAGCAATATTTGAAATCTCTTGTGTTTGAGTCTCATAAAGCAGCCCCAATATATGTTCATTTTGTGGGCCAGCACGGACCTCAGAGCTCATAGACAATAGCAAGAAGATGCTGTAGTCATTTACTTGGTGGGAAATGGCATATATGTAGTTACTCTAGACACATTTGCTGACTGGATGGATGTAAACGCATTTCTGAAGGGTACTATGATGTGCTTCTGAAATGGGAAATACTCAGTCATTTACATATAAAAATGATAGACATTTGTGAGAATAATTGTCTCAAACGTCATAGCCTCTGGAGAAGCCACAGTTACTTTTGAAACAGATACTTGTCATTTAGACAACCTTTAAAACTCTCTTTTAGGGGAAGATACTCTGTAAAGTCTGTAAGAAGATGATCAAAAGGAACCTATATGTTATATGTTGCTGCCCAAGTGTAAAAATAGAAACAAAATCATCATAATTTTATCTAGTCCTGTCCAATAGTTCTGCTAAAGTGTTATGATAGACAGCTCTGCTATCGTGTAGTAGAAAAAAATGCATATGGGACAGAATGAACATTGAAGAGCTCTCTTCAGTGCTGCTTTCAAGGAAACTTGAGCCTGAACAATACTGAGATCAAGGTCCAACCCTCCAGATGGGTAACGGCTTTGTGATTCTAGAATTTAACCAGTGATGCCACAGGGCAGAAGAGGCTAGTCTCGAGCTGCAGTCTTCGGGATAGTCAGGGCTTAATCTGGACAGAGAGTAATCTCTCTCTCCCTCTCTCTGTCTTTCTCTATTTCTCTCTCGATCTCTCTCTCTCTCTCTCTCTCTCTCTCTCTCTCTCTCTCTCTCTCTCTCTCTCTCTCTCCCTTCCGCTTATTGTTGGGTTTGTTTTATTTTGTTTTTTGGTTCTTTTGTGGGAGGAGCTCCACCCAGCTCCTAGATAAATTCACACATGGGGGCTTATTATTATTTATGAATGCCTGGCCTTAACTTGACTTAGTTTTTTTGCCAGCTTTTCTTAACTTCAAATCACCCTGTCTATCTTTTGCCTCTGGGCTTTTCCTTTTCTATTCCTGTGTAACTTTCTTTGTTTCTTACTCCATGGTTTCCTGTGTAGCTGGGTGGCTGGCCCCTGGAGTCCTCCTCCTCTTTCTCTGGCTCCTTTCTCATCTCCTCCCAGATTTCTCCCTCTATATATTCTCTCTGCCTATCCTTTCTCCTGCCTTGCTATTGGCCGATTCTTTATTAGACCATCAAGTGTCTTAGATAGGCACAGTAACACAGCTTCAGAGTTAAACAAATGCAACATAAACAAAAGTAGCACATTGTGGTGATAATCTAATTGTACTGAATTATTATTTTGATTGTATGTTAATAAATAAAGTTGTCTGGGAGTCAGAGCTATTAGAGCCATAGCAAGAGTGTGGCGGTGGTGGCACACGCCTTTAATCCCATAGATATCTGTGTGTTCAGGGTCAGAGCTATTAGAGCCATAGCAAGAGTGTGGCGGTGGTGGCACACGCCTTTAATCCCATAAGATCTCTGTGTGTTCAGGGATACAGCCAGCATTGGAGACATATGCCTTTAAGACCTAGGGGGCTGTACATTCAGACAGTGACGAGGCAGTCATGTGTTTGGGTTTACAACCAATGAGAAGGCAGAACAACATACTTTAAAAAAACGAACCGACAGGAAGTAGGTCTCTTTTCGCGAAGCTGGGACAGCAGGAGGAAGGGTGAGATTTTAGCTCTGAGCTCTGACTTCTCGGCTTTCTCTTTTACATTGTTTCTGTGTTTCTTATTTAATAAGACGGTTGGTTACATCTACAGCACATCTTAAAATAATATTCTACTACATATTCTCTATGCCTTTTCCTTCCCATCTCTCTGTCTCTCTTTCCTCATCCTAGTGAAGTAATTCAACTTTATAAACACTTACCTCTGTAATTATGTGGCCTTGAAGACCATGGAATAGGAATTATATGAAAGAGTAAAGAACAATATGAACTAGATGCTTATTTAGTTCACAGACAAGGCAGGGAGCCTGGTGTGAAATTTAAAAGTTACTTCTTGCAATATGTGATAATGAAGACCGGCCCAAAAGCCAACCCTTTTGAGAAGTCTTCATTCTGAGGCACCCCATTCTTCTTTATGGGTGTGGCAGAATATTCCCCAGCCTTTCTCTGCAGAGCACCTCCACAGACATCGCTGTAGAGACCCGAGGAAAAGGTTAAAAGTCAAGGTGAAAGAAACCTTGCCATTCACATGTCTGTTTGGTTTCCAACAATAGAATTTTTATATATAACTAAGCAGTACAAACATTTCCTCAGGAAAGAAAACTCTAACCTCAATATGAATTCACAGTGTCTGTTGTGCCTAAGGAAATACTGATTTAAGATTTTTTTAAGATACACAGTGTTTAGGAGTTGTTTTTATCCAAGCCTACCTTTGTAAAAATAGAATTTTAGTATGACTGAAATGTTTTCAAAAGTCATGCATTACCTGAAATACATTTTTAATCAAGCCACTTCAATAAAAGCTTTTTAAAATGTCCTATCTCTCAACAAATCACTTCCCGACACAGGGTCCTCAAAAAGAGCACTATGCCACAGCCAACCGTTATTATTTAAACACATATAACATCTCAAATGTTCAAAAAGCATGTCTGCAGTGTTCTATAAATAAGTAGAATTTCCTAGGCCTAAGATGAAAACACAAGTGCAGGTGACTTGGTAAAGGCACAGTTGGGGGCTGACATTGTCATTTAGAGTCCGGCACATCTTCTTCCAGCCAGCAGGGTTTTCCCCATGACATGTTCTTTACTACATTTTTAAAATGAGCAAGAAAGCCGTCTCATCATCCACAGTCTCCATAAGCACAGACCGTGCCCAGCAAACACTGAAAGCGGGGATAGCCATCATCTACAGGAATTAAAATAACAGTAAGTGCCTTGACTAAAGAAAGGCTAATTGAGTTGGTGCCACTTGTGCCGTGCCGAAACTGGGATGTGGACAGATATTCCCATCAGTGAAAAGCCACTGTGTGACCATTTGGGCATTGTGCCCTTTGTAGGGCAGGATTGTCATTCGTGGGAGGGATGCTATGGAATAGGGATGCAGGTGTCTCCTGAACCTCTTGGTGCGGGTTCCCATACCTCAGTGAGCAACCTGAGCTAAGCAAATACCCATCCTGAATTTTCTCTGGACAGGTTTTCTACACAGGACTACTGAGAGGAAATAGCCCAACCACTCTCTTGAAATCTTGGCTAAAATTGGAAACCGTGGCCAAAGAAGAAGCTAATGGAGTAAACAGTTACTCACATCCTGTTGTTGACAAGTGAGGCAGAGCTCACGGCTGTAACAGTGAGGTATCAATAGCTATGACATCATAGTGTGTCATGCAGAGGGCACAGTGAGTGTTCCTTTTCAGATGGGTGTGGACAGGTGAGATAGACTTTACTTCCTGTCTACTGTTTGGTCTTGGTCAAAACTATTTATTTATAAACAATGTCTTTATCCTTCCCTGGGAACTTTGTAAAAACTGCTTCTTGTTATTTTCTGAGTTGAAAAAAAGTAGATTGAATACTAAGCCAGGTCATGTTGCCTGGAGAAAGGGGCATCTGTGTGTGTGTGTCGTGTGGTCTGTGTCTATGTCTGTATGTGTATGTGTATGTATGTGTATGCATGTGTATGTGTGTCTCCCCTTAAGAGTCATATTCCTCTAGTTTTAACTTTGCAACCAGTTCCTTCGGGCAAGTTATAACTGTTCATCATCTCATTTCCCTATTATTCAAATGAAGACGATCTTGCTTGCCTTGCACTCTTGCTTCACAGAATGACAAGGAGACTCTAAAGAGATAATAGCTGTGAACAGATTTCGAAGTTGCAAGTGCTGGGCAAACGCAATGGTTGCTGTGAGAAGGGACCTGCTCAGGTAACTCAGCTGGAAAACCGTAGGTTTGAAGAGCTGTACGGAACCTGAGAAATAAAGAGCAACCTCTAATTTTACAGATGGGAAAACTTTCCCTAAAGAACAGTGAAATGATCAGATAATTCCCATAATTTTAGATAATGATAATAATTTTAGAACTTACTCTGGGCTGAGTGTACCAAAGCTTCTCATCCATTATCACATTTAATCCTTTCAGTGTCTCCATTAAAGGAAGAAGAGGCTGAGGAAACAACCTGTCCAAGGCCACAAGACTAGTAACTAGTAAATCCTCGATTTCTGCTGAAAGATTTAAGCTTGGAACTATCTTGGATGACGAATATGAATTTAAAAAAAAATCATCGTTCTGTCTTTGATCTGGATGAAGGTGCCTCACCAACAGGTAGAAAGCAGAACTACAAGCCCCTATGAATGGCTGCTCCCTGAAGACATTCTACTTTGTAAGAACAAACCTCATACCTTCAATACGCTTTCTGTTGGGATCTTTAACAGATGTGGTGGTGCATAAACAGTGTTATTTTACTTATTTGCCACCTAACTAACACAAAACATAAACCATTGAAAATGGAAGACTTCCTAACAATCAAACAGAGATTCTCATGTGTTTCCATGTGCAGATGCATTCTCCAACACTACCCAGTGAATAGATCTAGCCTCTGAGCCAACAGCACATTGTGGACATAAGGGAATGTGACTTCATTTGAAAATCAGTGTATGTGGGAATTTACAGTTCCAACATTTGCCTGGAGGGTTTTCAGAAGTACTCTAGATGTGACCCCCTTTGTGTCCCTGATTTTAAAAGAGAACATCCATAACAGTTACCCTCTGTGTGCATGCCCTACCATTGTGTGATGAGTATGCTTGTAAGCCTGGGTATAGGGGTTAGCTCTAGGCTGTTAGGGAGAGCTAATGCTTGAAGAGCCATATATGAGGAATTATACTGGTAGAGTCTCATTGGCACATGGAGCTGATTTCGATGACAAGACCATGAGCTAACTGTTCTGGGATAAGGAAGAATATGAATAAATAGAGACCTGGGAATACAGCGGTCCTCAGGCTCCAGGTGAGCCTCTCTGATACCTTTCTTGTCATTCATCCCCCTGTTTGGGGAGCTTTCACACTGAATATCAATGAGCACTAGAATCAACAGGACACTGCACAGAAGGCAGACCAGCATTCAAAGGGTTCCATTTTCTTTTCTATCGTATTATTTTCCTTAGGGGAAAAGCAGCTGTTGTCTAGTTGTATCATGAGGACACCAAGAGAACTCTAGGGGTCCTTGTGGAAAGAATTGAGCCCCCACCTCAGGCAGCATTAATTTGCAACCATGCAGGTAAACTTTAGATAAGCATTATCAGAGCTCTATCACCTGGCAACATTATGAGAAACTGAGCTGAACTGTTCAGCTAAGTCATCCTGAATTCCTGACCATACCCAACATAATTCATTTTTATTTTTTTAAGCTTCTCAGTTTTAGAAGTAATTTGTTACACAGTAATAGGTTCAGCAGAACATTGAAAAATGCTTATCTTAACCTTTGTGCTTAATTCAGAGATTATTTTTCAACCATAATTTTAGGGTGAAAGCAGCTAAAGTGGCAGGTTGGAGTGTTCATTCCAAATGCAGTGCATGCCCATATGTATTCACAAACTATTACAGATCAGTAAATTATTGATTAAATTATAATTAAGTCATTGCTGTGGACGTCCTTCAGCTCACCTTCATTTTTTTTTCCTTCCCTGTTTTCCCCTGAGAATCATGGGCAGAGGATCAGTTACTTAACAATTGAGAACTCTCCAGAGAGGAACCTGGAAGGAACAGCCACATTAGAAGTAACTACTGGGCCAGAATCCCTCCAGGGGTTTCTCAAAACGATGACTTTTTTTTTTTTCCTTTCCATTTTTCACTCGGCAAGTGATGAGTAACAAAACCTCTTTCTTTCTGAAGAAGATTGAAAGTGGTAAAGGGTGGTCAACCTCACAAGCTGCCTGCTGGAGTCCAGCCAGCCATCAAAAGCTTTGTGGTAGACAGTGAATCACAAGCTGCATGTGGAGTTCCAAACATCACCTGCCATGTGTGAAGGTTTTGGCTGTCATTTCCAGCTGTGTGGTAAGGAGCAGCCAATCCTGCGAGCTGTGGTGAAGTAAGCAGATGACCACTGTCAGTTGGGCTTTCTCTGGAGCTGCTTGGCCAGTCTTGCTCCATTTGTAAGGGTCTGGAGCAGTATTAGTTTCCAGGGGTCATGGGTTTTCAAGACACAAAGCTCTTTGTCTTTCCTTTAAGGAATGCATTCTTGGATGGACAGGAGGATCATTCTTTTAGGCCAGCCTGGGCTATAGAGTAAACTCTCCCCCAAACACGTGAAGGAAGGCTTTATTTCTGAACTCCTTCAGATAAGATTACTAGCCCTGGCATGATAATCATGGCAATTCTCCTGTGATAGCCATGAACTATATTTCTCAGATTGCAAACTTCATTTTGATTTGGGGTAAAAGATCTTTAAATTCGTGAAATATGCTCAACACATTTCAGAGACTACCAGATGCTCAAATGAATGGGGTGGGATCTCTGCAAAGGCCGTGGCCAGCAGAGGTAATGATCCACCAGAGGTGAGAAGAAAGTCCAGTTCAACATGACTCAGTAACTGGTGTTGGTTCAAACTGCTAGAGTCTGATCCCAGTCAGTTTACTTTAGGCATATTTAAGTACAGTACAATTTGAAAAAGTTTCCTGGTGTAACATAATCCCATGTGAACAACAAAACCTAAGGCATAATGATATCAAAACTCTTTTCAAAGCACACGAAGGTGGGTTCTATAAATAGACTTCATGCATTATCTGGAGGGCCTGGGGACAATCTGGTGTGGTTTCAGTCATACAGATAGCACAAAGGTCACCAGGCTATTAACCACCTCTGGTCCTATTAGTAAGGGTTTCAGCATGGGGGCAGGTGTGGCCTGGCCCTACAGATAGTGCAGATGTCCCCTGAGCTATTAATTACATCTATTTCTAGCCATATGGGTGGAAAACAGGTTATACATCCCTTTCTTTGAAGAGACAATCCTGCATGCTTCACATTCCTGGTTTCTCTGGTGTTGATCTGTGAGCACAAGGACCTCTGTGGCCCCAACACAAATACACATAGGAAAAAGAATGATAGGAGTAAGCAAAACAGGAGGCACCGATCTTTTTAAGATGATTCTTTTCTCAGATATCTCTAAAGCTTCGTCATAGGTTTGTTCATTTACTTTTCTCACCATGATGCCTATTCTGTTCTCTGCACTGAAAACAAAACTCTCCAGTCTACAACACTAAATTCACCATACATAAAGATACATCAGACCGAGTTGTCCTGATGCTCCTCCCTCAGTAAAGAACACACTCTGAGTCATAGCAGATTGTTCTAGGTTCGACTCCAGATCTGTCCTTTTTGGTAATAGACTTATGGGTGCTCCCAACTTGAGAAACAGAGTGATTTTTCTCTTACTAAGAAGAGTGTGGAGAGGAAAGGTTGACAGGGGTGGGCAGTGTGGGAATTGATGCTCTGAAGATCAGATGTCTAACTCTTGCCCAAATGAAATCTGAACAAAGAAGAGAATAAAATTCACCTGAATAGAAACTACTTTATGATTGGATCATAAATTTCTATATAAACATAACATTGACTTTTAGCCAAATGCATGTTATTTGTTGACAAGAGTTGATTTTTGTTTTTCAGGACCATGGATAAAACCTCAGGCCTCAAATACACTAGGCAAGTGTTATCTCCCCAAGTCTATAGCCCAAGAGCAAATACAAAATTGGAATAGTATATCCCTATAACTCTACTTCCTGTATTTTCATTAAAAATGAAAAATGCCTTATCTTTTGTCTGATGTTGAAAAGGTAAAGTATTTTTATTGGTATAAACTATTTATGTACATATATGTGCAATGCGATGCTTCTATGTATGTACATACACTGGGAAAAGATTGAATCAAGCTTATTAACATATTAGTCCCTTCAAGTTATCAGTGAGTTTATGGGAGGAGCTTTAAACATTCATTCTTCTAGCAATTTTGAAGCATACAGTGTATATTACTAATGGTAGTCAATGTCCAGACAACAGATCATTTCAACCTATTTCTCCAACTGAAACTTGGAACTTGTGATGATTAATCTTTGTCAATTTGATTGGATTTAGAATCGCCATAGAAACACATCTCTGAATATGTCTGTAAGGGTCTTTTGAGGAAGGTTTAAAGGAAGAGGGAAGATTTATCCTGAGTATGGGAAGAACTACCCTACGATCTAAAATCTCAGACTTACAAAAAGGAGAAAATGAACTGAGAACCAGTACTCAGCTCTCTCTGCTTTCTGTCTGATGATACAATGTGACCAGCCACCATGCCTCTCCACCATGATGGACTGTGACCTTTAGTCACTGTCCTATTGCTGTGAAAAGACACCATGACCAAGGCAACTCTTACAAAGGAAAGCATTTAGCTGGGGGCTTGTTTTATCAGAGGATTAGTCCATTACCATCATGGCAGGGAGCATGGTGGCATGCAGGCAGGCATGGTGCTGGGGAAGTAGTTGAAAGCTATATTCTGATTTGGAGGAAGAAAGAGAGACACAGAGACAGAAAGAGACAGAGACAGAGAGAAACTGGGCCTGGCATAGGCTTTTGAAATCTCAAACCATGCCCCGTGACACACTTCCTCCAACAAGGCTACACCTTCTAATCCTTCTCAAATAGTGCCACTCCCTGGTGACTAAGAATTCAAATATATAAGCCTATGGAGGTCATTCTTGTTGTGGAATATTACTTTAACTATGTAAAGATGTGTTACATTTGTTTGTGCTGCATTTATTTAATTATGTAAAGATGTGTTGCTGTTTTATGTTGTCTGCCTGAGGCACCTGATTAGTCTAATAAAAAGTTGAATGACCAACAGCTAGGCAGAGAAGGGATAAGCACAGATGACAGGCAGAGAGAATAAGTAGGAGTAGAAATCTAGGCTCCAAAGAAAGAAAGAGGGAGAAAGAGAGGAAGATGCCTGGGGCCTGACAGCCAGGCAGCCACCAGCCAGCCAGACGCAGAGTAGGCCATACAGAATGAAAGGTAAAAAGCCCCAAGGCAAAACATAGATAAAGAGAAACAAGTTAAACTAAGTTATAATAGCTAGTGGTACAAACATAAGCTAAGGCCGAGCATTCATAACTGATATCAAGTCTCTGTGTCTTGATTAGGGAGCTGGTTGGCAATTCTTATTCAAATCATCATATTCCTCAGATGTTATCCAGTTAATCTATTCCTCCTTTAAATTACTTCTTGTCAGATATTTGGTCATAGCAACAAGGACAGTATGTGATATGGAACCTTTTGGTCAATGGTTCCACATCCCTCTCTCTTTTTTCAGACCAATTTTGTGCCCTGTTACTTGGAGATCATATTTTCAGATTCCACATAAAAGTAGTATCACAGTGTTTTCCCCATCCAATGTATTGCACTTAATGTTGAATCCATTTTGTCACAAATGAAGTGTTTGGGGGGGGCGGGGGTAAGGCTGTATCGTGTTCTCCTCAGTGTATATGACCATTTTCCATACCCTGTCATTCATCTGTTGTTAGATAACTATGTCTATTGCAAATTATGAGTAACGATGAGATGAAGACATAGGTGTGGACATGCTGATTTGAGTTTCTTCAGATATATACCAGAAGTGAGATTGCTACGTGTGTTTGTTAATTTTGTGTATTTGATACAAACTTGGGTCACCTGGGAAGAGCTAAGAATGCCTCCCTAAGATTGGCAGGCAAGCAAGTCTGGAGGGCTTTCTGACTGATATGGGAAGGTGGCAGATAGCACCTGAGTTGTATGAAAAAGCGAGCAGGGCAAGCCTTGGAGAGCAAGCTAGTAAGCAACATTCTTCCATGGTTGCGGCTTTAGTTCCTGCCTCCAGATTCCTGCCTTGCTTGAGTTTCTACCTGGGCTTCCCCCAATAATTAACTGTTATTGGGACCGGTAAGATGCAATGAACCTTTTCCTCTCCAAGTTGCTTTTGGTCATGATGTTTATTACAGCAATAGAGAGGAAAGCAGGACACTAGATCTATGGGAATTTCATTACATGTATATTCACACAGACATAAATACACACTCTCATAAGCATGGAAGTATCCATATTTGCTTGAAGTATGTAGCATAATCATATTAAAAGATGCTAACTGTAGATTTGCAGCTAGAAGACATGTTCATGTTCATGCAACTACTGTAACCAGGCACAGTAAATGGCTCTCTCAGGGCCCTTCCAGCCTATAACAAGCCACCTGTACCCCCAAAGTAATTGTATTCTTTCAGCATCATATCATAGTTTGCCATGGGCATTTTAAAAAGCGAAGGCACATTTGAGCATACTGAGTATGCTGACTTATGCCTATAACTCACTGGAAGACCCAGAGAGGAAGATCTTGAACAAAGCCAGCCTGAAGTACATTCTAAGTTCAAGGTCAGCCAAGAATACATAATATATAACCCTGTCTCAAAAAAAAAAAAAAACTCAAAGCATTTCTTTATTTGTTGCTTTCTGGCTTCTCCAGATTGGAAATGGTCTCATCGTCTAGTTTGTGGAAGAACATTTGTGAGAAATTCCTCCCTTAAAGGAGGCTGCTTCTTGTGCTGAGGATATGTGGGAATAATGGAGTTAATATGGATTCCGTACCCATACAGGCCTATAGAAAGATTTATTTAAATGCATCCGTTAGGAACTTTAGAAGAAAGTGTGCCTTGCTTGTGTATTTGAACATGTAGATTTTATTCATTATGTTCAAAATTGTGCCAAGGGACCACACACCTGGAACTGGCCTGCACAATTCCAAGTGATGATGCCTTCCTTTATAACAAGAGCATTTCTCATACCCAGACATGAAATCTTACCAGGAATGACAAGACCAAAGCATTATTTGTCTTAGAAAGCAAAAACAAGAACAAAAATGTCCTAAATACTGTTAAGAAATGTTTGCTGTTCTGAATTGGTTCTACTTTGTGGCACCCTCTCACACTACAGGTAACTGCCTGCCTGCCTTTGTTTAACCACACCTCACTGATATGCACTGGCTAACTAACTGGTTAACTAGCTGGTATGCTAACTTACTTATTTTGGATATTGAGGAAGGAAAACTCAGCAGATTTTTAAGAGATCTATTTTTTGTTATTGTTGGGGAAATGTTAAAATTGAAGCACTCAGTAAAGGCTTAGTGTTTCACCTAAGACTTTGCAAATAGCCTCCAACTTAGAGCCAGTGAGTTAAGAATTCCATGTTGAATTGGAAATTAAAAATAGATGCAGTAGTGAGAAATGTATTTAAGGCCCTGCCTACACTGCAGCTAGAATCATGTTCATGAGAATTAGGGATGATTCTTGCTAGCCTGCTGTTAGCATAATTTCTCTGGCCAGAAAAGATATAAATATAAGAGTTTTCTTGGTAATTATTTTGAAAACGTATGAACTTTCTTACTGTTGTAGATGCTGCTGTGGTTAGCATGTGTTTACCTCTTTGTTTTCAAAGAAATTAACTTGAAGAGGATACGAAGTAGTAACATTTCAAGTACTATATGATATTTGAATATTGTTTTGATTCAGTATGCTTGAACTTAAATGTCATTATCTGTAATTTTACATATTTTACATATAGAGTACTTCAGTGAAATTTTTGCAAAATCATGCATAGGTACTTGCCCATATTATGACATCATTATCCAGAATGATGTAGCACATCCATTCTGCACATATCCATGCATGCACTGGTTTTGTGATATGTTCAATAGTAAAAGGAATATGTAACAAGTGTATAATTAGGAACTATATGTCTCCCCATTTCCCATTTCATAAAGGTTGAATCCATTCATGGATTAAAGCTTGAACATGTTTTCCCAATTGATCTCAAGTCATCATCCTTTACTAAAATTCCTGTCCTAATATCTCAACACATCCTGGAGTGGGAAATTCATTGAATCCATTGGATGGTGTAAGGTATGTTAGTGATTTTGATCCTTAGACAATCAGAGGAACTTTTAATACATTTTAGCCCCTAAACAATAAAGGCACTCTGTTGCGATGTGTTAGTTCAGATATAAGTAGTTTATGTTCCTGTCATTTGTGTTTTCAGTGGCATAGTTCTCCCATTGTCTTCTACAAGGTCGAGAAGCATTCTCACCACGTAATTATTAATCCTTCCTTTTCTTTTCCCTACATTTTTTTCTTCTCATAAAGGTGTACCATTGTCTTAGTTAGGGTTCCTATTGCTGCAATGAAACACCATGACCGAAAACCAAGTTGGAGAGGAAAGGGTTTATTTGCCTTACACTTCCTTCCATGTTCATCTGTTCATCTGAAGGAAGTCAGGACAGGAACTCAAAACAGGGCAGGAACTGGTGCTTCCTGGCTTGCTCCCTCTGCTTTGCTTTCTTATGGAACTCAGGACAAGCAGCCAGGGGTGGCTGCACTCACAGTGGACCAGACCCTCCCCCATTGATCACTAATTAAGAAAATGCTCAACAGACTTGCCCACAACCAGTCTTATGGAGGTGTTTTCTCAGTCGAGGCTCCCTCCTCTCAGATGACTTTGGCTTATGTCAAGTTGATGCACAAGTTGTAGTTTATTTTTGGTTGGTGTGGCATATATGTGTATATGTGCATGTGTGGGAGGGTATGTATGTGTGTACATGTAGGTGTGAATTCTCCTGTGCATGGAGAGGCTGGAGGTTGATACTGAGTATTTTCTTCAACTGCATTTTCACTTAACTTTGGAGACAGGATCTCATAGATGCCCATGTGAGGGATTCAGCTGCACTGGCTGGCTAACCCGGCATCCACCTGTCTC